GTTTCTTCCTCTCCCCCCCTCCCCAAAAAAAAAAACAAAAAAAAACCCCCCCCCCCCCCCCCCCCCCCCCCCCCCCCGATTGTAAGGACTTTTCTTTTCTACAGGGCAGTTAGTCCGGTGGGTCTATGTGGACTGTGGACTACGGTCTAGCTTTGGTTTTGCTTGTCTCCATTACACATCTCTTCTTCTGGCATACTGTCAGGTGCATTGCATTGGCATTCCCATGAAAAACTAAAAGCTGACTTTGGACTCTTAACACCAGGTGAGCTTGGCCTATGTCGAAGCAGCCGAGTACGTCACAGAACCTGTTAACAGGGAGCCTCCTTCCAGAGAAGCTCAGCTACTGACCTTGCAAAACATGTCTGAATTCGACATCCTTGTCATTGGAGGAGGAGCAACAGGGTGCGGCTGCGCACTGGATGCCGTCACCAGAGGTGAGTCCCCACGTGGGTGGATGTTTTCCAGACCGAGGTTTCCTGTCCCCCACCCTCGCCCCCAGTCAAACACTTGGTGTGCGCTCTAGACTAGTAAAGTCACGTTCCTGGCACGTTGCCGGATTTTCCAGCCTTTGTGAAACACCTTCATAGTTTCTTAATCTAGGCACTCACACAATTTTAAAATTAAACATAGCTGGTATTTTATGAGTAAAATTTATTTAAAAAGAAATTTCTTTAAAAAGAAAATTTAACTTCCTATGAGTTCATGAATTTGCTCTTTTTGCTTATTTCTTTCTAATATCCTAAAGTAAATGTCTTTTAATGAAATAAAAAATATGTATCCTATGGTCTGAAATCACATTTGTGTCAGGGAAGGGTAGAAAAGACTTATTAAAATGAGTTTATCTATTAAAAGAACTCTTTTTTCCTGTATCTCTTAAAAGCATTTCTTCCAGTGAGATATGGACTTCAGTTTAGGAGACTTGAGTTTATTGTGAATTCATGACAGAAAAGACAGTTGCTAACCTGTAGTTCTGTCTCAGCCACCCAATTCGTCAGCATTGGGAAAGGCATGTTGAGAAGCTCTTTAAAAACGGAAACATGACATGTAAAGAAAGAAATTCTAGTATGGAGCACCAGTGGTCTTCCATGTGATATAGTTAATAAAACAATTTGATTTTTGCCTGTGGTTATTATTAGTGTGGAGTTTGGGGTGAAGGAAATCTGGGTACATATCCTATCTCAACAGCTTTATTAGAAGTGTTTATAGTTATGGACACATACACATGCACTCACTTGGGCGAATTCCTTAATTTCTGTAAGGTTCCTCATCCTTCCAATAAGTTAAAAATACCTTCTTTGAATGATTTTTGTGAGGATTAAATGTGAAATCATGAAGACGGCTTTTGTGTGCTTGTCACACAAAATAGAAGCTCAGTAAGTTGCAGATAGTATTTATAGCTATTATTATTATTATTATTATTATTATTAAGTAGGCTCCACATCCAATGTGAGCTGGAACTTATGCTCCTGAGATTTAAGAGTCGCATGCTTTACCACCAAGCCTACCAGGTACCCCTATAACTGCCATTATTAACATGAAGGCAAAATACTTTTATTTTTTTAATTATTATTTTTGAAGACTTTATTTTAGAGAGAGAGTTCTGGTGTGTGTGAGAGCCGGGTAGGGGGAGGTGGATGGGGAGGGGGAGAAACACAGCCTGTGGAGCCCACATGGGGCTCCATCCCATGACTGTGAGATCATGATCCCTAGATCAAGACTTGAGATCACAACCTGAATCGAAAACAAGAGTGGGATGCTTAACCAGCTGAGCCACCCAGGTACCCCTAAGGCAAAGACTTTGAGAACCAGTTGTCCTAGAGAAATATTCTCTGTGGCATTCTTGGATGTATCCAGTTGGGCTCGGCACTGCTGCGTGGAACTTTGACTCTGGGTTGTTTTAGTTACTGTATAATGTTCCAGATTTCTTGTGGTGTCATACTCAGTGGTAATGATTTATTCCATGGAGCAGTTCTTCTCAGATTAAGTTACTGCCACATCCTCCCTAGACTTATACTTGGTTGCCTCACATACCTGGTAGAATTTACTTTTCAGACATGAATACATTTGGCAAGATTTAGGCACAGGCACTACGAGCAGGAAAGTGCTCTAGATTTACTGTATAGCATAGGATCCACACTGAAGTTTTGACCCACTGAGACTTCACAGCTTAGGTCCTTTTTGTCACTTTTAAATAATAGTAAATTCAGATATAGCCCTTGGAATTTATTGTGTTGTCCGGCACTCCCCGATTTTCATAGAGCTCCCTGTTTCCGTTCCTGGTTTGTAATTTGTGCCACATTATCCTCGGACATACTAAAGCAGGTGGAAAGAATGGTTGTAGTTACCTCGAGGTATTAGAACTCACCTCTCTCCCCTGGAGGCTTGGGAAGGAGTGTGGAAAGGGAGGCCATGTTGCTAACATAACGGGCAGTCTTGTTAGAGGCTAGCCCTCCCAGGAGTTAGAATTGACCAGGTGACAGTTTTCTGTCCTAGCAGATCATTTCCCCAGTAAGATTCAGAAAAATCTATTGTTTGGTGTTTCCTGTTATGTTTATGCTATGTACTGAAATATATGGCAGTTTTAAAAACATTTTAGTTCCAAAAAAAATTTTTTTTAGTTCCACGAATATTCACAATCAGCCTGTTGGATGCATGGCGTTCGCAAGATGCTAAAGAGCGCTCAAACCGGATGGGTGGTCGACTCCTTGAAGGTGCTCACAGTTCTGCTCATCTGTGTAGACGGAATGACATCACGGAGGATCCGCGCCTTTCAAAAGGCGTGTGGGCGTTATGGTTCTATAAAGCGGAGGGTCGTTATATCTGCAAAGGGTGGTCAGGAGAAAAAAAGCTGCTATTTTGCACAGGTAGAATTTTAATAGGCAAACGTTGCTTCGTGGAAGCGTCGCAATCTGAGCGCACGTGCGGGAGGAAGAGCGTGGAGTCAGCGCGTGTGGGAGACGGCACGTTTCCCTTTGGAGCATCCAGGGGTTGGAGCAGGGTATGAGAAAAGTTGGGGAGGTGGGACTGGGCCTGGTATGCCAGAAGAAGGCCTTTGGACTATACTGAATGGGCCACTTTGAGACACTGAAGAGCATTGGATTTGGTGACGAGGAATAGATTGGCTGTAAGGAAGGAGCTGGCCTGGGCATAAACTTTTAAGACATCTAGAAACAGACAAAATAGCAAGGAGGTAACTTGATGGTGTAGTAGGATATAAAGAAGGGAGGCAATATGTGCGATTGTTCTCTTCCTTCCTGCATCCATCCATCCATCATTCATTCCTTCCTTCCCTCCTTCCTTCCTTCCGTTCTTTTTCTTTCTTCTTTCTTTCTTTCTCTCCTTCCTTTCTTCTTTCTTTCTTTTCCCCTCCCTCCTTCCTTTCTTTCTTTCTTTCTTTCTCTCTTTCTCTCTTTCTCTCTTTCTCTTTCTTTCTTTCTTTCTTCCTTTCTCTCCTTCCCCTCTCCCTCCTCCTCTCCGTTCCTTCAATCCTTCCTTCCTTTCTTCCTAGAGGAACAATCTGAATATTTCTGTGGACTCAGAGGAAAAAGCCTATACAGGAGGAGAACCTTTATATGCCAAGAATAGGAGGCAACGTGTGGAACAATGATAACAAAAATGTATCTTAGGTTTGGTAGGGAGATAAGGGACATCTTTCAGAGACAAAAACAAAGGGTAAAGATTCTAAGATATAAAAAAGGGAGCCTCTGTGACCAAGAAGAACTGTTTTTTTTTTTTTTTAAGATTTTATTTATTTATCTGACAGACAGAGATCACAAGTAGGCAGAGAGGCAGGCAGCAGAGGGGGGGGGGGGAAGCAGGCCCCCCGCCGAGCAGAGAGCCCGATGCGGGGCTCGATCCCAGGACTCTGGGATCATGACCTGAGCCGAAGGCAGAGGCCTTTACCCACTGAGCCACCCAGGCGCCCCAAGAAGAACTGTTTTTATTCACACAAGCACAAAGAGAGATGTTCTACTTACCGTGGGAATAGGAGACTTCATGTAGAAAAGATTTAAAACTACCATGTGGAGAATGTGATAGGGAATAGGGGTCATTTGCTGTGGTTAGAAAGTGTAAATTTGTTTTCTGTGCAGGATATCTCTGTGTGTGTGTGTGTGTGTGTGTGTCTGTGTGTCTGTGTATCTCCCCGGTATTGCTTAGAGTAGAGACAGAGGAAATACACAGTAGGGTAGAACGTGGAATGGAGAACTGACTAGATATCAGAGATAGAGGGAGAAAATGAGACAAGATTCTCTGAAGGCAGAGGGCATTGTTTAAATGGAAACCTAGAACTGGTAGGAAAGTTGAGGGGTGTTGGAGAGCCAGCTTCCTTCAAAGAATTAGGGTAAGTTGCGGGACCGAATGTACTGATACCGAGGTGACCCCTATTCAGTGCCTTTTCTTCCTTTGAAAAATCTCACTTTCTAGATTTTTATCTTTTTCAAAGCTTAGACAAGATCATACTACAGTCATTACTCTGTAGTGTGTTACTTTCAAAAAACAATGCATTTAATCACGTTGTGCTATTCATTTTTTTTAATGGCTGAAGAATTTATCCCAAGGATGTTCTTGTTAAGGATTCTTTAGGTTTCAAGTTTTATTGTTTGTTTGTTTTTCCTATTTAAAACAAAACTGTGAGTCAAGTACTGATCCAGCTCTGAGAATAAGCAGGTTAATAAGATGTGGTTTTTGTCCTCCAGGGGCTTATAGTTTGGTAGTCTTTGCAGAAAATGTGCAATTTTCCTTTGGGCGGTGAAGGTCATCGGTAGTGACGAGGCATGAACCGGTGCATGAGCAGATGATCGCAGTCATGGTAGGATAGTGATGGAGATGGTGGTGGTGGTGGTGGGATGACTTTGGGAAGGTCAGAGGTTCCAGAGCCTGGCTGTTGACCAGATTTTAAATTCTTTTAGTTAGTAACGATTGACTGAATGTCTTATATGTAGAGCTTTATATCTACAGAATATCCCTTGTAAGAGGGATGGCTAAACCTTAGTTTGTATTTCTTTTATTATGTTGGTAGCCCTTGAGGGGGTAGGATTTATAATTAAAATGTATAGAGATGCTTCAGCATCTCTGTATTTATCCTTTTACTACAATTTCTGATCATATCAGTAGCCCTCTGAAGTGTGAAATAATCATGGGCATTTGGTTAATGAATTGTGCATTGTTGCTGTTCATTCATGGAATTTGCTCTTTTATTATATTTGATGCTTCACTTAACAACAAATTTTGCTTTCTCTGCATTTGATATGTTTTTACCAAATTATTCCTGATTGTTTCCATTAATCTTTAGTCACATTTGACAAAAATAAATTACTGTGATCTTTTAAAGTTACCAGTAATAATTAGATTTTTCAGGACATCAAAGTTTTGGGGGAACCACTAGATGTTAAAGGGCTTGTATAGAAATGTTTGCACGAGCTTTTTGATGGAA